CTTGTCAGTGCCTTCACTCCTGGTGAGACCTCGCACGGGGAGCTTAGGTGTCCTATCCCCGTGTGAGGAGTGGCCTGCTTGGGGACAGCACCCTGAGTGAAGTGTGAAGGGGTCCCCATTGTCTACCGCCCATCCTGCCCCTCTGGCCGGTGCCCTGTGGTGACTCAGGGGCCACCTCCCCGTATCCACAGCTAGTGTTTTTGTTAAAGCCTTCTGTGGGCGGCGCCAGAGAGGTGGGACCATCCCACAGATGCAGATGTCCTGAACTGAGACTGGAGGCTGATTGATTACAGGGTAAGGAAAGGTTTCAGGAGACAGACATCCCAGAGATGCACCTTTGGGGCAAAGTCTGTGACAAGTCGGAAACAGGTCAGAGCAGGAAAGGTGGAAGTTCAAACAAGGGTCAGGAGAGAGTGCATAGAGTCTAGGGAGGGGCAAGGGCTCCTCTGTTGGCTTCATCCTATGCTCCACCTGCCTCAGCCACAGCCTTCCCCACTCACCCACCTGCTGAGCTAGGCAGGGGAGGCTCACCCACCTGCTGCATTAGGCAGGGGAGGCTCACCCACCTGCTGCATTAGGCAGGGGAGGCTCACCCACCTGCTGCATTAGGCAGGGGAGGCTCACCCACCTGTTGGGCTAGGCAGGGGAGGCTCACCCACCTGTTGGGCTAGGCAGGGGAGGCTCACCCATCTGCTAGTATAGGCAAGGGAGGCTCACCCATCTGCTGGTATAGGCAGGGGAGGCTCACCCACCTGTTGGGCTAGGCAGGGGAGACTCACCCACCTGCTATATTTGACAGTAGAGGCTCACCCATCTGCTGGTATAGGCAGGGAGGCTCACCCACCTGCTGGATAGGCAGGGGAGGCTCCCTCTTCCATCACAGCCCACCATGCTCTGCTATGGCCTAAGATAAGCTCAAGGGTCCTAGGCCTCACCTGGAGCTCTCCAAAGCAAGTTCCTGACCCACATAGCTCTTTGCTGTCCTCCGTCAGCCTACCCATTGCACCCAACTGGTCATTCGACGGGGAGTCCTCTCCCCAGCCCAGGAGATCACATCACACCACACACAGGACCAGGTCCCCTACCTTCCTAACCCAGCAGATTTGCCCCTTATGGCCCGTCACACACTCTGCACCCAAGTGTGCTCTTGCACGGCCCTGAGTCAACCTGTGTGAGTCAGAAGCTGCCTGTCTGGTGGCCCAGTATTTTGTGTCCTTATTTCCTGCCACTGGGTCTGGCAAAGGACTGTTTGTTGAAGGAATTAGGGAGCCGATGATTTGTGGGGAAGGAATTGTCTGGCCTCCATCCAATTTCACCTTCCACGCTGGTCTCCAGGGCAATAGGATAGTTACTGAGGAAAAGAAATTAAGAGTTGGAAAGGCCAGAGGGGTCCACTCCAACTCACTGCTGTGTTTTATAGACTCACAGACTGAATGTGTTTGCTATGTGTGGAGTCCAACAGCCCGGACTGAGGAAGAGAGATGGGAGCCTGGTTCTAGAGCCGCATCAGTCCCAAATAACACACAGGACGCTGTATTAATTATGAAGCTGTTGGCCTTGCTTGTTTCTTACTGGCTAGCTCTGACTTAAGTAATTACCCCATAATTGTTAATCTAAGTATTTCTCTTACCAGAGAATAGTTCCGGGCTTCCTACCCCATGGCGTTACATCTTGACTCTTTGTGTTTCTCCTACCTAGAGTCCTCTGGACTCCTAGTCCCACCTATCTTAGTTCGCTATTGGCCAAACAGTGCTTTATTGACGAATACACAGGACTTCCCCAATAGAGCAGGAAGGAATCTGCTGGGGTCCGGCCTATGTCAGTCCTACGCTACAGGGGCCATCTATCCTGGACTGATGTCTTTGGGGCTGTGTTTGGAACCAGCTGAACAGCCCCAGGTCCAGCCCTGAGTGGGGTGTGAATCAGGGAAGTCCTAGCTACCCAAAGGCGTTAAGAATGACACAGAGACATCTCATTTTCAGGAGGACTCTCAGTCCATACTGGAGACACCGGTTTATTGAAGCGTCCTCTTAAATAGCTTTTTAAAGGTTGGGGTACTGGCAGAAGGCATCTATTATCATGTATCTAGAGCTGACTAGGAAACACTTCCTTTAACCCTAGAGATGGTCCTAGAATGCACATACACAAACCCCCAGACTGTACCGCAAATCTCAGGTATGTATGTTTCACTGGTCCCCAGGCAGGTCCCACTAGCCTCCATGATGGGTGTGGGGCCTAGGTCTATTGTTAGGCAAACTAGAACCCATTCTCCACTGTGGCCAGGCCATTCGGAGGTAACCAGCCAGCATCTAAAAGACAATAGATTTGAGCTCCTGGAATTGAGCTGGGGGCCTATATCAAAATATCATATTCGGGACCCTGACAGGAATCTAGGCTCACTCTTGGATTCAGGTGGGTGAAGCAAGTGGCTTAGATGAGTCCTGGTCTCTGGCCTCCCTTTCTGTGATGCAATGGGGGAGCATGAAGAGATGCCTGGGTATCCAGCTGTCCCATTTGGGCCAAAGTTGAAGACTTGGGGACATTCGCTTGCCACCAAGGGCAGTATGGAGCCTGAACCCACCTCCCTCTCTCCCTTAGCCGCTGAGTAGGTACTACTAGTGGGGCAGCACAAGTCTTGAGCTGGGTTTCCAGTCACCGCGCAGCGGAATAGATTACTTGTTTGACCAAATAAAGACGTGCTGCTGCGTTTGTGTTGCGTAATATTTGCTTTAAATGGTGCAAACTGAGCTGTGTTTTTGTTTGTGCTGCAACTGTTTAACTGTGTAAAGATGTTCGCCTTGCCTGCCTGAGGCACCTTGATGGGTGTAATAAAAATCTGAATGGCCAATAGCTAGGCAGAGGAGGGATAAGCGGGGATGGTGGGCAGAGGGAAAAGGGGAGCCAGCCAGCTGAGAGACAGACAGACAGACAGACAGACAGGCAGACAGACAGACAGGGAGAGAGGGAGGGAGGGATGGAGGAAGCAGGAAAGCAGGATGGACAGTACATAGACAGGTAAATGAGCCTGGGGCATCACATAGATGAATAGAAATGGGTTAATTTAAGTTTAAAAAATAGTTAGAAGCAAGCCTAAGCTAAGAACGAGCATTCATAATTAATAATAAGTCTCCGTGTCATGATCTGAGGACTGGCTGTCTAAAAAAGCCTGCTACTTACAACACAGCTTATTGGGGGCGGGGGAAGCTGTATTAGTAGTCATGATTATCTAGGGGAACAGAACCAATGGATGTGTGTGTAAAATAATCAGATTTTGTTGAATAGTAACAACAGCTGTCTCACACCTGAGATGCTCCTGAGAACCCTGCATTTATCTGATCTTTTAGTCTGTGCACCTCAGTAAAGGCAGTCGTTTTGTAGAGGCTATGTCTCACCAGGGAGGCCAGAAATCTGACAGTTTTTTGGTCCACCAGGCTGTGTGCCTCAGCATCCCCAATCTGGCACTGTACCCTGGAGGTTCCTGGAGAGACATTGGTCCTCAGTCCATGGTAGAAGCCTTGCGATGCTGGTTCTAACATCAGTAAGGGGCAGCAGCAACAGCAGCAGCAGCAGCAACTGTAGGGAAAAGGGGCCGGCCAAATAAACACACCCTGAGCAGAGCCAAATAAACACACCCTGAGCAGAGCCAAATAAACACACCCTGGGCAGAGCCAAATAAACACACTTTGGCCCTGCAACCAGAACCAAAGAAATGTACCCTGACTCTGAAACCAGTGCCAAAGAAACATGCTTTGCCCCTGGAATCAGAGCCAGTGAAAGAAATTCACCTTGGCCCTAAAACTAGAGCCAAAAGGCTAAAAAGGACCAGAGAGAGGAACACACTTTGGCCCTAAAACCAGAGCCAAATCTGACCCTAACCCTGATACACTAGGGAAGCCTTTCCCTGAAACAAGGCTGTGAGCTGCTAGGATTACTGTGACTTGTGGTATTCCTTGGCTCCCGAGTGCCAGAATACCTTTCCATCTGAGCTGTAACACTCAGTATTCTTTGACTCCCGAATGCCATAATCCATCCTTGTCCATCCCATCCAATACGTCGAAATGGTTACAACAGCAACAACAGCAGCAACAGCAGTAGCAGCAGCAGCAACATGGCATGCTGTATCAACCCAGTGATGAGAGGGAAGGCCAGAGTATGTTGATATATTATTTATGATTTATTAGAGCTTGCCTGAGGATTCAGAAAGCAAAGTCAGCCTCAAGCTATAGAGATTGGGCAGTGGTGACACACACCTTTAATCCCAGCAGCCAGAAACTAGGAGGTGGTGATACACACATTTAATCCTAGGTCTCAGGATTAAGAGGTAGTTGGATCTCTGTGAGTCCAGGGCCACCTAGACCTACCCAAGACTGATCCTGTCCTAAAGAGAAACAGCTCACACAAAGATGATCTCAGCACCAGGGATCACACACCTTTAATCCCAGCACTAGAGGGGGGGTATATAAGACAGGAGCAGGGTCTTCAGTGGTCAGTATCAGGCATTCACTCTCCAGTCATATTGAGGAGAGAAAGACATTGAAGTCTCAGGATTCTCCAGCCATGCTGAGGAGAGGCTAGAAGTCTAGGATTACAGTCTGAGGTTTGGTGGAGCCAGGATCACCATTCAGTCTGAGGTAGAGTAAGAGCTGGTGGCCAGCCGCTTTGCTTTTCTGATCTTCAGCTTGAAGCTTGAGCCCCATTCTCTGTCTCTGGGTCTTTTATTTTTGTGTGTGTGTGTGTTACACCAGAGGTCAAGGGAGGAATTACCTTCCTTCCACCTTGCCTCTCAAAGATAATTTTAAAGGTTTATTCATTGTGTGTGTATGAGCGATTTGCTTGCATATATATATGCACACGAGACCTTCATGCCTGCAGAGGTCAGACTAGGGCTTGTGACCGCCGGGGACTGAAGTTACAGGCAGTGTGACTTGCCGGGTGTGAAGGCGGGATACTAATGAGCTCACTAGACCCACGATAAGTGATGCATGTGTGTTTTATTGCAGAACAACTGACTCAGATAATAGGAAAGAACTGCCTCTGTGTTCCTGCTCCAGAAGATGCCATCTCTGCCCTTCTGATGTGGTCCTCAACCTGAGAGAGAGAGAGACAGAAAGAGACAGAGACAGAGACAGAGACAGAGACACAGAGAGGCACAGACAGTGCCCACCCTGTGCTTCTCTATTTTCCTGTCACATATGCACCTGAGGCCACGACCAAAGGGGTGTGGTCACTAACACAAATTCACCGACAAGACGAGAGATGCTACTACACATGTGGGTGCTGGTAACCAAATCCAGATCCTCCGGAAGAACAGCCAGTGCTCTTAACCACTGAACCCTCTCCCCAGTCCCGTCCCATATGCCTTTTAATATGGGGTACCAGAAAAACGCCACGGTGGGGGGTCCTCTATACCAGTTCCTTCCTGGGACTCTCTGGTCATGTGCCTCTCTGATCTGCTTCTTTCTTTGAGAGGATACACAGGGAGGGCGTGGTTCAGCCCTGTGGAGGCTGGATGACCCAAGCAGGGGCTATTCTGGCATCTTCTGATGTGTGTGAAGGACTCAAGCCACGGTGACATTTGTTCTGACCCTGACCCTGACCCTGACCCTGACCCTGACCCTGACCCTGAGCTGGCTGGCTGGTGCACACACCTGCAGCTGGCTTTCTGTTTCAGATGTCTGCAGCTCTTTGGACATTTGATGGTCCTGGACAATGGCCAAGACTCGGTCAGGAGGAGTGGGGCCCAACTCTAGAAGCTTGGGAGGGCTGCGCTTGGATTCTCAATGGTGGTCTCATCTCAGAAAAGGTCCTAGTCCTCAGGACTTGAAATCCCGGGTCCCAGAACCTCAGTGTGACTTTTCTTTACAGGCAATGGCTTCGGGAGGTTGTCAATATATAACAGTTCCTAATACAATGGGACTGTGTCCTCAGAGGAACAAGACTGTGCGGCACAGAAAGATGTGTGAATACCAGACAGAAGTCTCCATCTGCAAGCCGAGGATAGGCCTTAGGAGAACCAACCTGGACATACACCAAGATGTAGAAGAGGGCCTTCCTCTACTCTCCACAGCCAGGAGCAGACCCAAGTAACGCAGTGCCTGCTGCCACACCAGTCAGACATTGCTAACTCCTGGGCACTTAGATCCGTTAACCACCACCTCGGTTCCCCTATATTCCAAAGAAATTAGGAGATAGAGTCCCAAGCTAAACATGGACTTATTTATAGTCTGGTAAAACTGGGGCAGGGGCACGGATAGAAATCTAGACTTCCGTCACCGCCTGATACCCCTTCTTACATGCCACAGAAGCCCCGATGGAGTTACCCACTTACCGTGAGATGGGTTAACAGGGGCAAAGGGGTCTGGGCATCAGGTGTCCTTCATCCATAAGCTGCTCTGGTGGCAGCTTCGATTCAAGTCCAGGCTGACAATACAGAGTCCTCAAGCTTTCTCATTTTGAAAAGGGACAAAGATCCGAGATTCTCACCCATTCCAGGCCTGACAGAGTTCTGCGCCCCAGATCTAGTCATCCCTTTGATGGCTGAGGTGTGGAAGCCTATGGCAGCTTCAACTCTAACATATGAATGCCTGTTATACGCATTGATCTCACAGGTGAAAACTGGTGATTGTCTGAGAGCCATGGGGAGGTGCATGGGTCTTTCTTTAGAACATCATCTGCCCCCCCAGCTGTCATCATAGATGTGTAGAATATCTGTTAGTAGAGGATGTCCCTTCTCATCTGTTGTCAGCACAGATATACAGAATACTTATGTTAGTAGAGGTTAGCTCCCTGTAGCTGCTGTCAGTACAGATATACAGAATACCTATGTTAGTAGAGGATACCCCACCCCTGTAGCTGCTGTCAGCACAGGGTCAGTGTTCACAGGGAACATTTATAGCCTTCAGCAAAACATTATGGTGACAATGCCAGAGGACACCATCCTGAGCATTTATGTCCCCAGCTTGTGGTCTTCTCCTACTTATCCCCCAATAAAATATCCTCTGTTGGAGATCCATGTCTGTTTTGCTCGACTTTGGAAGTTACATAGGCTTGTAAGCCTCTCACATAGAGAGGAAATAGGAGCAGCCCTGACTTCTGCAAACGGCTGTGTTACTCTCCTGCAGAGGGAGTTAGAAGGGTATCATGAGCTGGTGGCTTAAGCAAGTAACTATGCTCTCCCCATCTGGAGATCAGAAGACACACACGCACACACACACACACACACATCACACACATCACACACACGCGCACACACACATGCACACATGCACACACGCACACACCACACACATCACACACACACACATCACACACATCACACACACACGCACACACACACGCACACACCACACACATCACACACACACACACACACACCACATACACACACACATGCCCGCAGGTGTCAGCAGGGTCAATTCCTTTTAAAGGTGCTGGGAATTCACTTCCTTTTCCCTTCTGGCTCCAGGTGACTCTGGCTGTCACTGTCAGCAGCTATTGATCCTGTGTCTTCCTTTGTGCTGGTCAGCTTTTCTTCTTTATGAAAAAATATCCAACTTACAAGATGTGGCAGTTTGTATGAGAACGGTCCCCATAGGCTCATATATTTGGATGTTTTAGTCACCAGGGGGTGGAACTGTTTGGGAAGGATTAGGAGGTGTGGCCTTGTTGGAAGAGCTGTATCTCTGGGGGTGAGCTTTGAGATTTCCAAACCCCACAGGAGGACCAGTTTCTCTCTCTCTCTCTCTCTCTCTCTCTCTCTCTCTCTCTCTCTCTCTCTCTCTCTCTCTCTCTCTCTCTCTCTCTCCTTCCAGTGGATCAGGATGTAAAGCTCTCAGCTACTGCTCCAATGTCATGCTTGTCTGCTCCACCATGGCAATAATGAGTCCTCTAAAACTGTGTACAAGTCCCCAACCAAATGCTCACCAACCAAATGGTGTCTCTTCACAATAACAGAACACTGAGTAAGCCATAGGATAGTAGAACTATTTGGGCTCTCAGTCCATTTGGGTTCAGTCCATGATTGCTAGACTCCATTGCTATGGTGAGGCTGAAGATTCCAGCCAGGAGTTTCTCACCTCATGGAATCCAGGTAGGAGAGATAAAGACTGGGGTAGGGAACAGGCTAGAGCCCTAATATATCCTACCAAGGCGTGTCTCCATCTACTGTCTCCAGACAGGCCCCAGCTCTTGAAGATTTCCCTCCCCCATACTGGGTAGGACCATCAGCTGGAGATCAAGGTTTCAATGTGAGCATTAGGGAACATTTAAGATCCAAATCACATGAAGTTCCCTCTTTGTAGGGAGAGATCTTATGTACTTGGAGCACTGACCACGCCTGTTTGGGCGTGGTCACAGGTACATGGGAGAAGGCAGGGGCATAAAGAGCTAGGAGGAAGGGGACACTCTTCTCTTGGGGTTCTAGTTGAGTCTGGGAGACCAGCGGACTGCTGACCTCAGGTTCTCGGCTTCTCGTGTAAGTGACTTCTCCGTAATAAAGTATCGCACGACATTCCTTCCTGTATACCTTGTGTAGCTTAATATTTCCACGATGTCTCGTGTCAGGAGTGTTCTACAGGTACGCAAGATCTCTCCCTACACCTCTTCATTGGCTTCCTACATCAATGCTCCTCTTCTCTTCCTGGGGACTCCAGACATTCTTCTGGGACTGACCCCAAGCCAGGAGGACCTCATCATCAGCTGACCACATCCACAATGGCGCTATGAAGACATAGGCACGAGTTCCAGGAATTAGAGCTGAGTGTGTCTTTCACTGCTCCCTCCCCCAGCAGCCAGGAGACCTCACCAGCCCCCAGAGCAGCAATATGCCTGGCTGGGCATGTGTGTCAGCCTCCGTCAGGTCATCCGCTGCATGTTAGCGGTACCAGAGGACGCAGGAGTTGAGGGAATCTTACCCTCACCTGTGCTTCCGTCAGGAGACTCTTCCTGGGTTTGAATTATGGCTCCAAGTCTGCTACCGGGCATTTGTTGGTACAGCGGTGAGAATGGCTGCTTTCCAGCTCTGCTAAGGGGGGCATCAAGGAGAAGACATCCTTAGGGACATGGGATGAGTAGATCAGAAAGATGTGTATGAAGCGCATGATTTATGAGCGTACACAGGCGGGCAGCTCTGAAACTGTGGGAATAAGACTTATTCTCTTCAAGCAGAGCCTTGCAAACCTTGTTCCTAGTCCTCTCTGACTTTGGCTGGGGGGCCCTCCTTGAGGATTATGCAGGGTGGCCCCAAATAGTGAACAGAGAACAAAGTCGCCATCATTGGAGCACAGGGTTGGAAGTCCCTAAGTGTGTCTCGAAGTAAACGCACCCAGAGATATTAGTGTGGCCTTTGCCTGTGTCCTTACCTCCAACAATGGTGAGTACATGGAATATGAAATCTGCCTTGGGGGTGGCACTGCCTTCTGGAGCCCAAGGGGAGGCAGTAGGATGGGGACCAACCCTGGCATTCCATACCCTCCATACCCTAAATACAGCTACACTCCAGGCTCTAGAGTGAATGGAGGTCACTCTCTGCATTCTTAATTTGCCTCTGATGATTCATAATTCAGATGATGCTGCCCTAAATAATAAGCTTGTTTGGTCCCCATGAAGATGGGCGGGTGGTCTGGGCTCTTCCAAGAAAAGCCATAAAGGCTCAGTTTCTCTCCAATCCCATTGAGTTCTGCTCTCCTGAGTGACTTCTCAGCTCCCCGAGAATAGCATGTTTGGAGCAAAAAGACACAGTAAAAGTGAGGAAGAAAATTAAATATGAAAAATTTAATTAGATTCCTCTTTGATCGCTCTTCTCAGAACCGACGGGGCGGGGGGAGAGGGGGTGCTGCTATTCAGTCACAGACATCTTGGGAGATGGATTGGACGAGGTGAGAGGAGATGTGGACCTCCTGATAGCCCACGCCAACCCTGCACAGCTCCTGCCCCCGCCCCCAACAGGTGTCAACTGCACAGGCTCCTGAGAGGAAGACCAATGGCCCTCTCTGCTGTTTTTGTTGTAGCTGTGTTTTGCTTACTTTGGGGCCATTTCTCCTTTGTCAGGGGTCATAGATAGATCATACAGTCTTTGTCCTTCCTCTCAGTGCTCCAGGCTGGCGCAGTGTCTCAAAACTGGTTGAGGCCATCAACGGGTAAGAGGCTGGACAACTTTGGTCCTTATTTTCCAGGTTCTGGGAAAGGGGTGGTTTTCCTTTCCAAAAATCTTCACAAATATTTCAGTTGACATATGACAGTTGTTCTTGTTAATGGACTGTATGGTCTATCTGAGAGGTGCTTTTGATGTGTAATGATCAAACTGGTGTTATCTGGAGTGTGTGCACGCGCACATGGGCACATACGCGTGTATGTATGCACTCCTGTGTGTGCATGTGTGGTGTGTGCACAAATGTATGTATGCCTATGAGTCTGTGTACACATGTGTGTGGGGTGTGTATGCATGTGTATGTACATGTGTGTGTGTGCTCGTGCGTGCATGCACGCGCATGTGCATGCGCATGTGTGTACATGTGTGGATGTCTTTCCTCACTCTCCATTTCATTTTTTGAGACAAGGTATCTCACTAAATCTGGAGCTCATTGTGTCAGCTAGACTAGATGGCCAGAAAACTCCAGGGATCTACCTGTCCCCGCGTCCGCAGCACTGGGGTGATAGGCGTAACACTATCATACCGAGTTCTGTGGAGATCAAAACTCTGTCTTCATGCTAGCCCTTTGCCTGATGAAACATCTCCCCAACCCCAGGAACTTGCTTTTTTGAGCCAGCTCCTCCGTCTCACTGTGGATGACATGAGCTGTAGGTACATCAGCTCCACCCCTGAGCCGTGTCACCTCTCAACAGATGGAGTCCAGAACATCTTAAGAAACATACATATATACATACGTACATGCGTACATACATTCGTGCATACATGTATACATATGTGCATACATGCATGCATGCATGCATACATACATATGTGCATACATACATGCATACATATATACATAGTGCATGCATGCATACATATATACATACATACATACACACATACATACGTGCAATGCATTTGTGTATGTACATGCCACAAGCACAGAGACTTATACATGCATGCATGTACACATGATAGGTTATGATGCCCAGGGGCTCTCCAGGCAGTGCCACTGAGCTCTCTGGGACACAATCAGGAGTCCGCTGTGAGCCCTGCAGTGTGGGAACTCCACAGCTTTGCCCAAGAGAGGTGGGGCCGCAGAGGACGGTGAAGCAAGGCTAGGCAGCCATGAGGAATTCATGAGGAGATAACAGGGTTCAGGGTTTCCTGTGAAGTGATCCCGGAGAAGAAACCTTGCTAAACGAATCACGCTGAAAAGAGTTTCAGGGGGCATTGTTTAAATCATTAAAAGAATCAATTTTTACTCAGCATCTTGGAAGCATTGTTTGCATGTGATTAATATAACATTGCAAACTATTTTAAACCATTGCTCCAGGGCCCATGTCTCTGAACAGTTCCATTGGACAACATCTGAAAGACGTGTATACAATTCTTTTATTCCCGAAAGCCTGCGTTTTGTCGGATTCTGATTGGAATTTTTTTCCTGCAAGAACACGTTAGAGAGAAACTCTTGTGAATGTATGTCAGTCAGTTTCCTGTTGTTGCGACAAAAAAACCTGGGGTGAGGAAGCCCAAGAAAGGAAGGTTTCTTTTCCCTCACGATTTCAGAGGTTTTAGTTTATGGCTGTCCGGCCCTTAGATTAGTTACTTTTCTTGCCACTGTGATCAAATACTAGACAGAAAGTAACTTAAGGTTGGTTGTTTGAGGATCAACAGTGTGCAAGACCACTGGCCACAGACAGGAAGCAGAAAACAGATAGGAAGTGGGACCAGGGTAGCAAACCTTAGTGTCACCTCCCAGTGACTTACTTCCTCCAATTAGACCCCACCTCCGCCTGTCTGAAGTTGGGAACTAAGCCAGGAGGAAGAGATGTCTTTTCTTTTGGGTTCCAGTTGCAGCCTGGAGAGCAGGG